GAAGGCAGAAGTTATAAAACCCGCTTTAGGGCGGAGTGTGTTTCTTTCCAACTGTCAAGTGCTTGCGACTAAAAAAGCGACTGGACTTCTTTAAGTTTGTTGAAGATGATTCAGCTCTCATTCGATAAGCTTCTTGAGTTCTAAGATCAAAGATGGAGTGTCAGAAGTATTTAAGCCCTTGATTATGTGGCTCACCACATGAGCTAAGGTGTGAAAATGTGTGTGTGATATCTGCAGAGGTTTTGGATGAAACCATTGGGAGATATTGCCTCAAACTATCATGTGGCGCTTGGGAAGGGATCTCAAAAATGGATTATAGATGGCAGACAGTTGGTGTCGTAAGCCACCTCCTCTGTTCAAAGAGGGTCGTTAATAACGGTTGGACATAGATGGCTTCTTTCACTCCTCTTTAGAACCAAAATGTAAACAGTAGCATCCTTGAAAGAGTGACCTTTGTCCTTTAGATGCAGATGTATCTAAAGGTTCTGATTGGGGCTTTCAGTAAATTATAGCCAGTATTTGCCCCCTCCAGGCCCAACACTGGTAACAGAAGTGGGATGCAGATAAAGATTGAGTGGGGAACAATGAAGTGTGAAACAACTACTGATTAGTAAACGACACTTGACCTGTTGAATAGTAGTCGAAAAGGATTCTGTCTGAAAGCATAAAAAAAACAGAGACAGAATTTTTAATGAAATCAGACCCATCTGATTTCTTTCAGCTTTTATGAACACTGGAGTTAAACCAAACAATAAATCACATCATCTATGACCTACCAGATACCGAGAGAGACTGAAGCTTTAATAGACTGGAAGTTTAATTGTTATTGTGCTACTGCAGATGTGAATATGGGATGTAAAACTGTGCTTTAATGTAAAAAACACAATCCCTTAAAACAACACCAACCTTGCCCAGCTGCTCCTGGGACTGTAGCCTCAGGTCCTCTGCCTGACGCTGGGCTGCCTCTGATTCAGCCCGGAGCTGCTGCTTCAGGTCAGTCAGGGTGTTGATGTACCTCTCGTACTCCTGCAGCTGCTCTGACACAGGCTTCTCGCCCTCCAGCTGGACACTGTCCCCAGCCTTCTTGAAGTATTGTGCCAGTTTCATCTGCAGCTGGCTGCTGTTATGCCTGGCCTTATCTCGCTCCTTGCACAGCTCCTGGAGGAGCTGTCTGTATTCTTTGTACTTTATGTTTAGTTTTTGTGCACATGCAGATGTGGCTCCCTCTTTTTCAGCCTCTTCATCTTCGTGGTGTAGAGGGCTGGAGATCTCCGTGTCCTGAGTCTCAGGATGTAGCTTCAGAGCGTCATCGTGGTAAGTGCTGTTCGTCTCAGAAACCACAATTTCTTCGTGGCACAGTGGCTGTTCTTTGACTTTAATCATCACATCAAACTCAGTGCAGAGCTCATCTTCACTTTTGGCTTCTGGTTCAAAAGTGGCGGCCTCTTCAGCTGAGAACTCTTCTGTGACTTTCCCGCTATCACAGTGCTTTTCTTCAGGGTCTGATGTGGGCATTTCAGCTGAGACAGCTTCATTTTTATCCCCACTAACAGAAATAAAATTCTCCTCTGTGTCTCTGTCACTGTGAATTCTTACCTTATTTTCTCCCTCTCCCGCCTCTTTGTCCATTTTTAATAATATTTACTTTGTATACAGAGGTAAGGCTCGTGCAGTTCTGTGGTCAATGAAACTGTTCGTTTTGTTTCGGTTGCCCTGGAAACTAAGCAGAAGAGCCAATCACAGGAGCCCTGACCCATTCTCATTAATATTTATGAGCAGGATGTGAGTAGCTCGCGCTGCGAGGCTCGCTGTACGCAGGCGCGAAGGATTGCCTCCAACAACAAGAAGCAGACGCCAGGCAAGATGGCCGACTTGGGGAAGAAGTACTGCGTTAACTGCCTTGCAGATGTTACAAACCTGCGGCTTCGCTGCACCGAGTGCCCTGATATCGAGCTGTGCCCAGAGTGCTTCTCAGCGGGCGCTGAAATCGGTAATCACCGGAGATGGCACGGCTACCAGCAGGTCGACGGCGGTCGGTTCTCTCTCTGGGGTACAGAGGCAGAAGGAGGGTGGACCAGCAGGGAAGAGCAGTCGCTACTCGATGCTATCGAGCAGTATGGATTTGGAAACTGGGTACATCACTTTTTAAGTTATTTTTCTGACCTTTAGAGCTTTCTATACAAACTCATAGGAGTTTCGTTGTGTCTAGTGCTTAGAAAAGAAAAAAAAACAAGAGCAGTAGGCTTGTAGCAGTAATATAAGAATAACGCTAATGACCTTTAAGATAAAAATGATTTTTTTTTCTTCTTATTTTCGTTGTTATCGTTGTACATAATTTTCGAGACGTTAAAAACAGAAGAAAAGCCTGAATAAAATAGATTTGAGAATAGTGTTACAATTTACTTTAAGAAATGTGGAATGTCAACAGCACGTCGCATAAAAAGGAAAAATAATCGTAATTATCATTCAATAATTGTATTGCTCCGAGTCACAAAACAACAAGGGGCAAAACAGGAAGCAAATAAGTAAGGAAAAACTATATTGTTATGTAGTAAGTAGTAATTAACTCCTTATTAACTGAAACCTAACCTGAAACTTGTGTTACAATGCAGCATATTAAAGAAACATGTAAAGTGTATCAACCTCTGAATTAAATGTGTACCAAAGACCAACTGTTTTGATATCAGACTAATGGAATATACACAAATGTTAAATTCTTTCCATAATATCCCACGAATCCTTGAGTCACAGTGCTTTTTAGTGCCTACTTTAGCTTAGAGATTCATTCAAAACTCTATTTTTATAAGAAAATTAACAAAAAAAGAGCACAAAAAAAAAAGAAAATGGCACGAGAAAGACCACAGAGATGCTTGTGGATGTAATGATGGAGGGTATGCAGAGGGTTGGTGTGACTGTAGGGAGAGGGTGAGATGGAGGCGGAAGATCTGCTTTAGCGCCCCCTGAAACAAAGTCAGACGACAAGGGAAGGGAAAAGAAAGCATAGTTCTGTGTAAACACAGAAAGAAAAGTAATGTAACTGTAATCAAATCTCATTTTTCATAATGCAAAAGCATATCAATCTATTTTGTTATCAACTTATCCATCTCAAGGTCAGGAGAGGGTTGAAGCCTATCCCAGGGGTCAAAGGGCCAAAAACCAAGGCTAACATTTAAGAGTGGAATAGTGTCACGAAAGGTTTGCTGGATATGTTACAGATATGCAGAGTTATCTTGTGGTACAAACCAACCACCACCAAGTTATGTTTAATTTACTCAAGTATAAAATAAATGTTTGCATGTCAAACGGTCAGAAAAATGCTCAGACATCTGTTAATGTGGAGACTCCTCTTAAGTATATGTGGACCAGTTACACTTCACCTCCAAAGCTCCATACAGTCAATTACAAAGTGCATGTGGCTTATGTGTAGCGTATTAGAATATTTGTCTGTGTAAAATAAATTATATTAAGTTTGACTTACTTGGAAGTTTTTAGATAAAATTATGCACCCCTATAATGCATCAGAAAATGTACATTTTCAAATATTTCATGGTGATGTCTACAGTTAACTTGTTTAATTTTAAAAACAACCCAAAATTGAAAAGCAGAAAATATGAATATTTAAATATCAATGATGAGAATTCATTTTCTCTTGAACAGCTAAACAGATTGTTTGAGCATCACTCTTTCATCTTCTAGTATAGCATAGAAAAAATACAATGGTGTAGGTGTCCTCTTAGTAACAACTTCCTTTTTGTGGTCCTTCAGGAGGACATGGCTGATCATGTTGGAGCATCCCGGACTCCTCAGGAAGTCATGGAACATTATGTCACCATGTACATCCATGGAAACCTGGGGAAGGCCTGTATCCCTGACAGTATTCCAAACCGGGTGACCGATCACACCTGCCCGAGCGGAGGGCCGCTGTCGCCCAGCCTGACCACTCCGCTCCCTCCGCTGGATATCAGCTTGGTGGAGCAACAGCAGCTGGGCTACATGCCACTACGTGACGACTATGAGATTGAGTATGACCAGGACGCGGAGAAGCTCATCAGCGGACTGTGTGTCAACTACGATGATGAGGACGTGGAAATTGAAATGAAGCGCGCCCATGTGGACATGTATGTGCGTAAGCTCAGAGAACGCCAGCGGCGTAAGAACATCGCTCGTGACTACAACCTGGTGCCTTCATTTTTAGGCAGAGACAAGAAGGACAAGGAAAAGGACAAAACAGGGATGTTGGGAGTCGTAGGAAGTGCAGCTGGCGTGAGTGGAACAGGGGCTGGTGGTGGTGCAGTCGGATCAGGATCCATGGCGGCATCGGGAGCAGGTCCTCTCCCAAGTACACCTAAAAGAAAAATCACCAAGGAAGAGAAGGAGCAGCGGGTGAGGCTGCGAGCGCTTTGTCAGTTCATGGCCCATCGGGAGTTTGAAGAGTTCTTTGAGAACATGCATAAAGAGCGAGTGCTGAGGGCCAAGGTGCGCGAGCTGCAGCGCTACCACCGAAACGGCATCACACGCCTGGAGGAGTCAGCGGAATACGAAGCAGCACGCCACAAACGGGAGAAGCGCAAAGAGAACAAAAGTGTGGTCACCTCAAAGCGGGGCAGCTCGGGAGGAGGAGGGCTTGGTTCTGGGATGGGGCTCGGGGGTGGAGCTGGAGGAGGAGGAGGCGTTGCTGGAGGACTAGGGGTTGGAGGTGGGATCAAAGAAGAGGGCAAAGATGGTGAGTTTGCTGCCATTGAGAATCTGACAGGCTTCGAGCTGCTGTCAGACAGGGAGAAGGTGCTGTGCAACTCTCTCAACCTCAGCCCGGCACGCTACCTGACTGTCAAAACCATCATCATCAAAGATCACCTGCAGAAAAGGCAGGGCATTCCCGCCAAAAGCCGAATGCCCAGCTACCTGGATAAGGTTCTTAAGAAGCGCATTCTCACCTTCCTCACAGAAAGTGGCTGGATATCCCGAGACACCTCTTAGCAGTCCATCGTTGCTCAGGAAATTATAAACAGATAAGCTATAAGCGCTGGAAGGCAGGAAAAACTACTGGTTTTCACCATTTTTTTTTTCAGGAGTGACCTTGTAAATATATACGTTGAAAAGAAATAAGATGCCCAACTGGAGAAAAAAATATTTTCATATAAGGGCAAGGAACAAAACTGCCTATATTTTTGCATTTGGAAAGGAACAGGGGATTAATACAGCTGTGTGGGTTACAGTACTTTCTATTCTAAATGTTTTGACAAAATAATAACTGCAGTGTTAACGCTTGCAGGTATTACAGAGCTGTTTTGGTGTTGTTACAGCAGGTGCACTGAAGGTAGAAATAATGTAATGAATGCAACCGGCATGCTGAAAAGAAAAGCAAATAACAAAATCGGATTTGATGATAAACTCTTATCCCATTGGTGGCTGCAAAATAAGGTGATTGGGGAAAAAACGCAAAGAAAAAAGCTCCAAAAACCAGGGTTTGCCCATGGTTTTAGCACAAACTTAATTAGATAGCCTAATATTAGTTAGAGCGGGCTTGCTGAAGTTTACAGTCATTATCGGCCTATCAGAGTTTGCAGTTTGCACCAAATGCCGAGTACAATAATGAATACAAAAAGATGAGTTTCCACAGGTTCCTTCGACTTCATTCCTACCCATACCTTTCGGTTGATGTCATTGCTAGCCTATCACTGCTTACTTAGATTAGCTAGAGCTTGACCTGCTGCAGGTGGCTGATTGCTGTATATCTTCCCCCCAAATTTCTTTTACCAAATAACTGATGCAGATAAAGGCGTTGGGGTAATTTAGAAATTTAATTTAGAGTTTTTGCAGGAGAGTTTGTGCCAACATCCATTCCATACAATACTCCCAGTACATGTAGCAGAGTAGAAACTAGTTTGAGAAATACATTGCTGGATAATTAAAGAGAAGCAAAACAAAAAACGACACCCGTTATTGTCCCTTTTTTAATGTAACTAACATAAAGAATATATATGTGTATATTTATATTAAACAAATATTGACCAGTATATCAATATTGGAATCTTTTCTCATTCCTAAACATGACCCTTAAAAATCCACTAAGGCTAATAGCAGCAGTGTCACCGCAGGTTTGAAAAAAATGACCAGAAATGCCAAAGAAGAGATCATAGTCAACGCCAGTCACACTCTGTCCACCAGAGGGCACTGCCAGGCTTATTTTTAACCTGTAAAAAGTCCAACTCAGAATGTATTTTTGTTTGATAGCTAATTTAAAAAGATCCTGTTTAAATATTTTTTTTAA